GTGTATTAGCCTAATTTAGATTCCATTAAATATTGGTTGTGATCTGGATAGTAATCCGGATCGAGGAATTTTTTGAATGATTGCCTTGCGTCCGTCATGGAGGTTGTGTTTACGGACGCCATCTACGTACACGAGAAAGGAGATTTTGATGTAATTATTTAAGTGTGAATATCTTCGGCTTATTGCCTTGGCGGAGGTATGGGGTCTCTCAGTCCTTCGTGTTGCTTTTGCTTCTTGTTGTTTTTGCTGTTGTAAATTTTCTTCTTCGTTATCGTCCTTTTCTTTCGTATTATTTTTGTTGTTCAATCGCATTATTATTACTATTGTTATTATTATCATTGGTGTTATTATTATGGTTGTTATTAATGTTATTACCTTTGTCAAGGAGGTTATGTGTTTGGTCGCGTTGGTTGGTTAGTTTGCTTGTTTGTTCGTTCGTTGGTTACCAGGATAACTCAGGAAGTTATGAACAGATTTTTATGAAATATTAGATTCCATTAAGTTTTAGTGGTGATCCGAATCTGGATCCAGGAATTCTTTGAAACTGTATGAGTTACCCCTAGCGCAAATGCAATTCAAAAAGTTATGAACATATTCTTATTCTTATTCTTCTTCTTCTTTATTATTATTATTATTTTTTTTTTTTTTTTTTTTTTTTTTACCAGGGTTGTGTTTTAGCCGCACTTAGATTCCATTAAATTTTGGTGGTGATCCGAATCATGTTCCAGATCCAGGAGTTTTTTGAATGATTTGATGTGACTTATTATCATCATTACCATTATTGTTCTTATTAGTAGTTGTAGTATCATCATTATTATTGTTATTTCTACTACTATTATTATTATTTTTATTAATTTCATTGTCATTATTATTATTATTATTATTATTATTATTATTGTTATTATCATTATGACCATCATTATAATTGTTATTGTCGTATGAACTTACGTACATAAAATAGAAATACACGACATTCATCCACGCACGCAACAAGCAAGCATGTGTATGCCCACCCCACAACCCCACACACACACCACCCACACCCCACACACACCAACACCCACACACACACAACCACAACACACACACACACACACACACACACACCACACACACACACACACACACACACACACACCACACACCCACACACACAAACACACCCCAACACACCACACCCACAACACAACAACACCCACAACACACACACCAACACCAAACACACACACACACAACACACACACACCACAACCACAACACACACACACACACACAAACACACAACCACCACACACACACACACACAACACACCCACACACACACATACACACACACCACACCACCAATACACCCCAACACACACACCACACACACACCATAGGCTTTCATAATGACACCTGATNTCTGTAGCTTGAAAAGTGCTGTAAAGTGTGTGGGGGTGGGGGGGGCAGTCAAGCTTCTTTCCTGTTAGTTCACGAGTGAGGCAAGGCTGTGTCCTTGCACCAACACTTTTCAACACTTGCATAGACTGGATACTGGGCAGACCTACTATTCAAACTCTTTGTGGAGCACCTCTAGGCAATATCAAGGTTACTGACCTTGACTTTACTGATGATTTTGCTATCCTGTCTGAGTCTATGGAAAGCTTAGTGGTGGCTCTGGATATATTTAGCAATGAAGTGAAGCTCTTGGGGTCTAGAGGTCTCCTGGACCAAGCCCAAGATCAAGGACTTTGGGGACTTGCAAGGAAAACCTGTTTGGTCGGTACATGCTTGCAGTGAGGACATTGAAGTCACAGAGAGCTTTACATACCTTGGTAGTGTAGTCCATAATTCTGGGATGTCAGACCAGGAAGTCAGCAGATGGATTGGCAGCAGGGGTCATAAATTCTGGTTAGAAGGATCAAGCTACGTGTCTTCAAGGCCCTGATAATGCCAGTTTTGCTATACAGTAGTGAAACCTAGACATTATCTTGTGCCTTGGAGTCTTGTCTTCATGCCTTTTGTTATAGGTCCTTGTGCCGGAACATGCGGTACCATGTGTCTAACTAACGGTTGCACCGTGAGACTGGCACAGGACCTATTATCTGCACAATCCATGATCGCCAACTCAGGCTATACGGCCACCAGGCTTGATTTCCTCAGGATGATCCTGCCCATCAGGTTGTCTTTGTTCAAGACATCCTTGAGTGGACCCATTAGGGACCCTCATAGGTGGAAACAAAGGGTGGATGCGGCTATGCGCCCCTGCCAGCGTTAGCTCCCAGATGATGATTGAATGTTACCATTCAGAAACAAAAGCTTTGAGATATATACTACTTATATAGTTTATGAAACATCTATATGTAGGGAAAACATTGTGATCTTCAAGCAATGCTATGAGATGCCATTACTGTAAGTACTCTATTTAACTAGAAAAGAAATCAGATATATCAGTAAAAACATATATATTGCTTTATATTCACTATTAGTTTTGTTTTACCTATTATAAATTATTTATTTACCTAACATGTGCGAAGAAACGTTGGCACCAGAGAGGCTCAGACTCCAGAACACTAGATCAGTAATAGGGTGCCTTTTTGTTAGAGTGTAAGTATCATTATGTAAAAAAATGAAGTGTGATGACAATATGTAAAAGAAAGAATCACTAGCATAAGAAATACGGATAGTTATCATATTAGTATACAATAAAAAGTATGATGTCAAATGGTGGTAACAACATATAAGGGAAAGAGAGTGGTTACATCAGTATTTAAGAGATGGAGAGTATTGCCAGAAACAGCCTATAGAAAGCAGGGTAGGATAAAAGGTAGTTATGTTATATATATGATTTTATTATAGAAAAAAAGTCTGCATTTTCTTTCTCTTCACATCATCTTCATATGTAATATAACAAGAATAAATTTTTTTCTAATAGTTTTCAGGCACGCTTGTGTTAGACACATGATTGGCTTAACAACAAAACAATGGTGGCAGTATTGACAGCTGCACTAATGTCAGCAGCAGAGATCTCCAATCTTTGCTCGGCATTAGGGGTCATCATATGCTTTGTGTGTATGGTTGTTTTTATCCTAAGGTAAGCCTTTATCTGTTTGTATTTTTAAATTTTGTTATTGTTGTTAAATTCAGAGCAAGGTTTGGATATTGATGGTTTACATTTCTTTCTTTTATATCATTTTTAAAGGTAAACTGAAACAAAATTTTGGAATATTATAATAACCCATTTTTCGTATTTATATTCTCTTTTGTCTTTGCATTCTTATTTGCAGTTCTTCATATTTCAATTCATAGATAACCTATTCTACCCATTAATTTCCATTTTTCCTTCATATTCTCATTCATAATTCTTCGTATCCTCATTCTTCTCTTTTCCTTTTCTTTTTTAATATTTGCAATTCTTATTCCCTACCTAAGGCTTCAAGGAGAGGACTTCATTGGCACCTCGGTGACTCATGTGGCGCAACCTCCTGTAGCACAAGTGGCCGTGCAGAAGGTGTCAGTTCCTTTTTCCATAGAGATTCAGGATCCTTCTACAGCCTCATATAATGGTAGGTCTTACTTATTAATTGAGAAAAAAGAACATAATGGAATTATTTGGGGGAGAGAGGGAGGGAGAGGGAATGGGAGTGGGAGTGGGAGTGGGAGTGGGAGTGGGAGTGGGAGATGGAGAGGGAGATGGAGAGGGAGGTGGAGAGGGAGATGGAGATGGAGGGGGAGAAGGAGAGGAAGAGGCAGAGGGGGATGAGGAGGTGGTGAGGGATGGGGAAGTGGAGTATATATGAAAGCAGAAAGTGAGAGAAGAGAGAAAGAAATAGAAGAAGAAAGAAGGGGAAGAGGAGAGAGAGAGATAGAGAGAAGAGGGAAAGATAGAGAGAGGAGAGAGAGATGGAGAGAAGAGAGAGATAGAGAGAAGAGAAATAGAAGAGATGAGAAAAGAAGAGAGGAAAAGAGAAGAGAGGAGAGTAGAGGAGAAGACAAGGGAGAACAAGAGAGAGAGAGAGAGAGAGAACAAGATAGAGAAAGAGAGAGAGAGAATGAGAGACAGAGAGAGAAAACGAGAGAGAGAGAGAACAACTGATAGAGAGAGAGAACGAAAGAGAGAGAGAGAGAGAGAGAGAGAGAACGAGAGAGAGAGAGAGAGAGAGAACAAGAGAGAGAGAACAAGAGAGAGAACAAGAGAGAGAGAGAGAGAACTAGAGAGAGAGAGAGAGAGAGAATGACAGAGAGAGAGATAGAGAATGACAGAGAGAGAGAGAGAACCAGAGATAACGAGAGAGAGAGAGAGAGAGAACGAGAGAGGGAACAAGAGAGAGAGAGAAAGAGAAGGAGTGATAGAACAAGAGAGAGAGAGAGAGAACGAGAGAGAGAAAAAGAGAGAGAGATAGAGAGAATATGAGAGAGAGAGAGAGAAGAATATGAGAGAGAGAGAGAGAATACAGAGAGAGAGAGAGAGAGAGAGAGAGAGAGAATATGAGAGAGAGAGAGAGAATATGAGAGAGATAGAGAGAATATGAGAGAGATAGAGAGAATATGAGAGAGATAGAGAGAATATGAGAGAGAGAGAGAATATGAGAGAGAGAGAGACCAGACTTCCCCCTGGGAGTCTCTCCCCCACGCGCGCCTCTAGGGCTCCCCTTTGCACCAGCACGTCACAGCCCGCGCAACGCTGCATACCCCTCCTATCAATAAACAGCTGAACCAGAATTGTGTCTCCAAAACCCACCAAATCAGGGTAAACACAAAACCCTGACAGAGAGAGAGAGAGAGAGAGAGAGAGAGAGAGAGAGAGAGAGAGAGAGAGAGAGAGAGAGAGAGAGAGAGGAGAAGGGAGAGGGAGAGGGAGAGGGAGAGAGAGCAGAGAGAGAGATAGAGAGAGAGAGAGAGAGAGACAGAGACAGAGAGAGAGAGAGAGAGAGAGAAGAAAAAAAGAGTGAAAAAGTAAACACCTGTCCTATTGCCACTAATAAGAGCCATCATTTTGATTAACAGATATCCAGCTAAGGGTGCGCAGCGAGGTGGCCTACGTAAGACGAAGCTTCTGGGGTGTTCCCTCTGACCAGCTTCACTCACTCTTGAATGGCACTTGGCCTGCATTTCTTAGACTGATTGTTGAGAAGCCCGTGGTTGAGGCAGATGTTGTCGAGGAGTTTTACAGGTGAAACTTAGATTTGCAATTATTTTGTCTTTTAGATTCTTCTTCTTTTCCTGTTGATATTTATGATAATTTTGGATTGAAATAAGCTATTACCAGTTAGTTATGAAAAGAAGAAAAAAACATAAAAACTTTAAAAGCATAATTTGAAGTTGTTTCAAAATGTTAAAGTTCCCCAGTATATCGTTTGTTTTTTGGTAACAGTGTGGTTGAATTTCGGTAAGAATTCTTTAAGATTGTAAGAAGACCATGATGAAGAAGTACCAAACCTAATGTAATTCATGCAAATATCTGTATCAGCAGTAAAGGAAGAATTATTCCATATTCCTGGAATGCTGGTTTCTCTCTCTCTCTCCCTCTCCCTCTCCCTCTCCCTCTCCTCTCCTCTCCCTCTCCCTCTCCCTCCTCCTCTCTCCCTCTCCCTCTCCCTCTCTCCCTCTCTCCCCCTCTCCTCTCTCTTCTCTCTCTCCTCTCTCCCTCTCTCCCTCCCTCCCTCTCCCTCTCCTCTGCCTCTCCCTCTCCCTCTCCTCTCCCTCTCCCTCTCCCTCTCCCTCTCCCTTCCTCTCCCTCCCTCCCTCCCCCTTCCCCCCTCTCCTGCTCTTTCTCTGTCAAACTACTCAGGTGCTAGTTTGCCTGCATTCCAAAGGGTAACCCATGGGTCCAGCAGCATGGCAACAGCTTGTCTACCCTTCACCAAAGAGTACCAGATTTCTGCTTACTCAAAGTCATCCCACATTTCCAGAGAGGATGATAATGAGAATGCTGATGACACCAAGCACTTCCAGTTCAAAGGCAATCCCCAGGACCTGATGCTGGGTTCTCCTCCTCGCAAGAAATATCCCCTTGTGGTCTGCGTTGTGCGTCAGGATGCCCATGCAGAAGCTGATCCTTCAAATGTGGTGAGGCACAGCATGGACTCTTGGTTTTATTTTTTTTCACATATTATTATTAGAGCTGGAAAAAACAGGGGAACTAGATACTGTTTGGTAACTTGACTCCCTCTCCCAAAGGGTGCACTGATCAGCATCATCCACATCAAGGACTCAGAGTGCCAAGTACCCACATGCATCCTCCACCAGTATCTTAAGCAGTATTCTGGGCAGCTCACCAGACTCCAGGTAAGAAAATGTCCTAGTACAATGCCCAGTTGCAACAAGTGGTACCTGCCGTTATGTAATATTGGCTGGAAAAGTTTTATTTTTGATAATTTATTGTATGGCATATGATGATTATGACATTATGTTTCCAAATATGAAAGAAGTGCCCCTTATGCTTTTGTTGAGGTATTTTGATATGATTGATTGAAATAAGCAATAATGCAAAGTTACTCACAGCTCTCAAGCCTTAAATTCATTGTTCTTTCCAGGCTTTATACACCCAAGGTAACAAAACGAATGAGAATGTGGGGAGAACAATGCCATCTGCGGAAAAGAGTAGTTCTGAGGCTGAGAGTGCCACCACAGCCAATAAGGATGCAAAAGAAGAGATAGAAGAAGTAGAGGAAAAAGCAGGAGAAGAAGAGGACGATGATGATGAAGTACCAATAGAAGAAGCATGTGTTGTGTGTCAGGTCAGTTGTAAAGGGTATGAATATTTGGATGAATAATTGAGAAATAAAAATGGGGAAATAGAAAAAGACGATATGATCATTGATAAGAAGTTAAGAATATGTAACGAGCAACTGACAGAATTGGATAGATTATAGATACAAGTTTACAAGACAGTTTCATAAATCACCAAGGAGTGTTTACCCCATTTCTATCAGTCTATATCTATATCTCTCTATCTGCATTCATCCTTCCATCTATCCATCCAATCATTCATCAAACCATCTATTTCAACCATCCATCCATTTATCAATAATTAATCCATCCATCTAACCATGCTTCCATTTATTAATTATTAATCCATCCATCCATGTATCATTTATTCATTCAGTGATTATCCATCCATCTATCCTTCCCTCTACTCATTTATTCATTATCTATCCATCCATCCATCCATCCAAACACCCACCCACCCATCCATCCATCCATCCATCCATCATCCATCCATCCATCCATCCATCCATCCATCCATCCATCCATCCATCCATCCATCCATCCATCCATCATCATTCATCCATCCTTCCATCCTTCCATCAACCCACCCACCCACCCACCAAGTTTTTTACTTTCTGATCTCTGTACCTAATCTGCAACTTGTGCAACTGCATTGTCCATTTTCCAGGTAAAACGTACATCTCGGGCCCTCCTACCTTGCCGGCATGTCTGTGTTTGCAACACCTGCTGTGGGAGGCTAAACAACTGCCCCATGTGCCGTGCAAGGATACTCAGTTACTTCCTTGTGGCTCCCGAGAGTGCTGATGACTTTGAAAGCACAGAGGTCGAGATCCATGATACCCCATCGCTCTGGCAGAGAGTGTGCAATGTGATAACAGATATGATGCCTGGTGATATGTAGCGAATTGGGTTTTGTGCTCATCTGGATATAACTTTTTTTTTTTTTTTTTTTTTAAGTCGGCGTCTAATTTGTAGATTTGTGAAGCTGGTTGCAGTATGAGGTTGCATCCTTGTCTCAGATTTAATTGTTTTGTATATACATTCCTTGTGCTGCATAAGTTTTTTTTTTCATTATTATTTTTTGCAGTAGTTCACTGGTGCTTTCAGTAGTTGTATATCTGCAAGGAGGCACCAAAGATCCTTTACATATGTATATATTGTTGATTGTAATTTTTGTTAATAACAGTGCTTCATTCATAACTAGTATGAATATGGTTATATAGTGGATATAAGAGAGAAAATAATGTTATTTGATGCTATGATTACATAGCACAGAAATGGACTTTTTCATACTGATACTTATGAAATCCCAGATGATTTGAGATACTGAGCAAACTCAGCATTGCATAATTATGTGAAGTATGTTGCAGGGTAGGTCATGACTCAATTCCAAGGCCTGACTCAATTCCAAGTTATGGTTAAAGATGATAGTGCTCCCATGCTTCCTCCAGCAAAACAGCCAAGACCTTGATTATGCAACCTATTTCTCTCCTGGGGCCAAAGAAGAGTGCCTACCTGTGATATCTTGAAGTCAGTGACCAACCAGCACTTCTCCCTTTATATGGCTATTTATTTTTCTTTGTATATAATTTTGCTATGTAATTTAGTCCAGCTGCAAAAGGAAAGGAGCAACTGGAGTTCCATGCATCATCAAACATGCTCACAGTTTTCCTGTTTGGTAATGGTGTGCTGTGAATAAGAGAATCAGATCCTCAGATCTATCGCTTCTAATATGAGATTCTTTTTGCACAATGGATTAATTCATTTATGAATGGCAAAGACTATTGGGTAGACAATATTGGATAGACAATATATCATGGCATTAGAATTTAGTAGCTGTGTTTAGTTTGGAACAAAGAAAAGGTTTTTGTTTGATGTATTGTGAAAAAGAAGGCAATATATGTTTTTTTGTGTGTAGATTTAAGTATCTAGTCAGATTTTAAGAATGGGAATGAAAATTGGTTTCTTTTGTCAAGATAACAGTATAATAAGAAGAAAATGTAATATAGAAAGATTTGTATATTGTATTTAGATGTATTTTGTTATATGAGTTTTATATGAAATTTATTTATATACTCTACAACAGCTGTTAGAATAATTTTTCTTATATTCCCCTGAAGAAACAAAGTTTGGTTTGGAACTTCTGAAGAATTTTATTTATTTATTTATTTTTTTATTATTATTATTTTTTGGTAGCTAAATGTCTTGCCCTTATGGTTGTTATGAGTACTATGCAATGAATTCCTTAACACCAAACATTACTAACATTTTTCAAAATATAACCTAGAGGTATGTGACTTCAAGTGTGTATTTAAATGCATGGATGAATACCATAAAAGTTATTGATTATTTCAAAATATTTTCTTTTCCTGTCTTCTATTTTAGGAAATTAGCCAAAAAGCATATTTCAAGAAAAGGTACAAGTTCTTTCATTGAATGCTTAAGGTTGAAAAAAAGGATCTTGTTAACAATTTCCTTTCTTGGTAAAGTGCTGAATGACAAAGATTTAAAAGAATAAAAAATATGTGATTTGTATTAGTATAAACATTGGTTTAAAAGAAGTGATTTTGGGGGATTAATTATATAATATTATGTGTGTGCAATCCTGTATAACTTATTATTAACAATGGCTAAATTTAGTTGTATTTTGAGAGCAATAAGCTACTTGAAAAACTAGTACAAATAATCTGAGAAAGCATTTTTTTACATGTTTAGGATCATGAAAACATTAAGATTGAACTTGTGATTGACTTTACTGATCTGAAAATGTTTATTGTACTTGGCTAAATTTCTTAATTTCTTATAGTAAAGGTATTCATTATGTTAGAAAGGATAACATAATTTAGCAAGAACTCTAAATATATTACCTTATTTTTTAACTGATAAGAATGAGAGAGAGGGAGAGAGAGAGAGAGAGAGAGAGAGAGAGAGAGAGAGAGAGAGAGAGAGAGAGAGAGAGAGAGAGAGAGAGAGAGAGAGAGAGAGAGAGAGAGAGAGAGAGAGAGAGAGAGAGAGAGAGAGAGAGAGAGAGAGAGAGAGAGAGAGAGAGAGAGAGAAAACAACACAAACACATTCAGAATATCAGATGCTCATTTATCATTCTCTAAAGCGACTAGCCAGTAATTATTCCTTTCTTTCAATATCAATAATCTCACCCAGCTGAAAATAATCCTTCACAGTAAAGTAAAAAAAATAAAACTCCATTTATAGATATAAATACTCTTTATTCTCAAATAATATAATTTATCTATATACAAGAAAAAAACATCACTTAGGAAAATTATCTTCATATACACTTTCCCGTTTTCAGACACCTGCTAGAGTTTGTAGATAGTGTGTAGTGTTTTCGTTAGTGTTTGATAGAAAATATTTGTTTATTTAATAGTGTTTACAGTCTTTAGGCTCTGTTAGAGTGTATAATGTCTTCATATAGTTCAAAAGTGTTCGAGAGTTTAGTGTTTCCAGATCGTATTTGTTATTAAATATCATAGATCATTGTTCTTTCATTAGGTACATTGGTTCGCTTCCCAGTCGAATTCAAAGCCAGCCTGAGGAGGCGATCTCACCAGAGGGTTGACGTTGTCCACTGTGTCGATGGCGGTGAACACGTTAACGAAGAAGGGGCCCTGCGTTTGCGCTGACGTTATGGCTTCCTGTTGGGACGAGGGAGACGGAGGGGGAAGAAAATGAGCATGTTTCAAATGCAGTCACGAACGGTAGAATTGTACTATAGCCCCTGGAAGAGTTCGGGGACAGAGTGTGGTTTCCTTGCTAATGCGAGGGGGTGAGGGAGAGGATAATAAACAAAAAAATGTAATGAAGAAAGGTAGAACTGTATATTGCGATGGGAACGCAAGGCAAAAATATTCGTGATGTTTCGAGTGCAACAAAAGACGTTTTCTTTCTTTAGCTTTATATTATTACAAAACGTAAGATTGCGTAATTAATACAGGAGACCGATTGCCCCTTGCCTTAAATTATCTTATCAATAAACTTCACCTTATCTGGTAATTAATAATACAAAATGCTGATAATTAATCACGATCAAGTCATTAATGACAGCAACATACGAAAATCAGATTATGAGACAACTTATTATATCTATATATCTATATACATACTGTATAACTATTAATCAAGCCATCAATCCATTTCTCTACTTACTCATGTCATTAACAAAGCTTCTATCTATCTGCTGATAACTACAATAAAATGCAGAAAATACTAAAGCTCCCAGAGAGGGAGGCATAGCATATCCGTTGCAGCTCCATTGTCAATGTCACTGTCATTTACGAGCGTGCCCAGTGGGTGGTCATCGGAAGTTCATGCCAATAGTAAAACTGGCATGGGTATTGAATGCTTGAAGTAATTGTGTGTGTGTGTGTGTGTGTGTGTGTGTGTGTGTGTGTGTGTGTGTGTGTGTGTGTGTGTGTGTGTGTGTGTGTGTGTGTGTGTGTGTGTGTGTGTGTGTGTGTGTGTGTGTGTGTGTGTGTGTGTGTGTGTGTGTGACTATACTTGGTGCAATAGCTAATGCCACTCCAGTAATAAGAATCGAAATACACACTGGCCATTTAATAATTAATTAATCTAAAGTTTAGTTCTCCTCCATCTATTTATCTCTGTCTATTTAGAAAAACCACCTACCACTTGTCGTCTCCCTAACGAAAGGAGAAGAAAAATCTTTCCAACGCCACGGCGGCGGACAATATGGGGCAGCCACCTTGACATTGTCGAATTTTTGTCGCTGTCATTGATAGATCTGAATTTCTTTTCATATTTTTTTTCTATTTATGGCGTATTACTTCAAAATCGCAGTCTCTGTCTCGTAAAAATAAGAGATATCCAGCATATGTCGTCAGTGGTGAATCTATCTTTTTCCATCTTTTTCTAAAGAGGCGACATCCTTTCTTTCTCTCAAAACAGAAGAGAGAGAGAGAGAGAGAGAGAGAGAGAGAGAGAGAGAGTGAGTGAGTGAGTGAGTGAGTGAGTGAGTGAGTGAGTGAGTGAGTGAGTGAGTGAGTGAGTGAGTGAGTGAGTGAGTGAGTGAGTGAGTGAGTGAGTGTGTGTGTGTGTGTGTGTGTGTGTGTACTCAGGGCAGTGTTTCCCTACTCGCAGGCCTGAGGCCAAACTCACCTGTGGCCTCCGTATTGGTAGGGCCCCATGCTCCTAGCCCTATACTTATATTGTAGTACAAGTATGCTATAATTAAATACTCGGTACAAGTGAAACAAGGTTGCACGCTGTGTCACAAATTAGTTTGAATGGGCCCCAAACACCTCTGGGCCCTGGACCACTGGCCTAATTGTATATCCGGTCCTGAGCCTACTCACGGGGTAGTAGCAGAGCGGCGGCGTGTAGTACATGGCGGCCATCTTGACCATGCTGACGCCGCAGAAGAAGGAGGACCCGGCCAGCTTCGGGTTCGGGACCACTGCGATCCCGCCGCCCACGGGGAGCCGTAGCATGTCGCTGTCGTCGATGTACTGGTTGTTGGACTGGGCGAGGAGAGGGTTGTGTGATAGTTATTTCATTTTCGTGTTTTTATCGTTTATTGGTTTATTGGTTAATGGTTTGGTTGATTTGAACATAATTGTGAAATTGTCTATCTTTATTTCTGCGTTTATTTGTCTAGCATACGTGTTTATTGTAGATATGCATATGCAAAAAAAAAAAAAAAAAAAAAAAATGCACACATACAGGCAGACAAACAGAAACGTGTATGTACACCAAACGCCATCGTGATTATCATGATCATGTTAAAGTATTCCATTTTAACCACATCCCCT